ACCTACCGGGATTGGAGCTTCATTGTTTGTTGTAGGAGTCAACGTGCTGCTGTTGGTAAGAGACTTCTTGGGAAGCTGAGGGCTCACTTCAGCTTTGACCTCCATGCTACTTTTGGAGGAGCTGTCGTTGACTTCATTTTCTTCCACGGGGATCTCCTCACAGTAACTTTAAAAAAACAATAATAAGCAAAATCCGGGTGAATTGGATCAATCCCACAGTTAGTCTTCTTATCAAGCATTGAAGAGCAAACCTTGTGGAATAAAAACATTCACCTCACAGTGCAGCTGATACCTCCAAAGAGAAGCTTCAATTATCACCTTTTCTTTTACGTTGACATACCCATTTTCTAGCCAAATTCCACTCCAGAACATTTACATACTTTTTCGCATCTGTCATGGGCTTAAAGTATCTTAGAGGATGGGAGATAATGATAAGGTCTTCTGCAATTCTGGCTGGGGAATTCTGGGAGTTGAAGTCCGCTCAGGTTAAAGTTATAAAGGTTGACTAACACCGCCCTAGAGTAGTGAGGATATCAGTGGTTTGTGAGCATTAAATCTTGGTGTTTTCCAGTTTTGTTTTCATGGCTCACTTCAGGCATAGGAGCTTACCCCATGGTGTTGAAATCTTCATCAGGAGGAACATAGTCTTCATCATCGCTCGTCAACCCCAACTCATTGCCGTAACACTGATGTACAAAATGCCAAAGCTCCTTTGGACACAAGGGCTGGAAAGGAACAAAGCAAAGAGTGCAGAGAAGAGCAGGAAAGATGATTAGGGGACTGGAGGCTAAAACATATAAAGAACAGTTGCTGGAATTGGGTATGTCTAATTTGAAGAAAAGAAGGACAAGGGGTGACATGATAGCAGTCTTCCAATATCTCAGGGGCTGCCCCAAAGAAGAGGGAGTCAAACTATTCTTCAAAGGAACTGGAAGGCAGGACAAGATTCAATGAATGGAAACTCATCAAGGAGAGAAGCAACCTAGAACTAAGAAGAAATTTCCTAACAGTCAGAACAATTAATCAGTGGAACAACTTGCCTTCAGAAGTTGTGAATGCTCCAACACTGGAAGTTTTTCAGTAGAGATTGGATTTCTCTGAAATTGTGCAGTTTACTGCTTGGACTAGAAGACCCCCAAGGTCCCTTCCAACTCTGCTTTTCTATTCTATTCTATTCTATTCAATTCTATTCTATTCTATTCTATTCTATTCTATTCTATTCTATTCTATTCTATTCTATTCTATTCTATTCCAAGTCCAAGTCCAAGTCCAAGTCCAAGTCCAATTCCATTCCATTCCATTCTATGAATCGGTATCCCCCATGGAAAGCAATTGACAGCATCTCTGATACTTCACTCATGAGAATTTTAAGAACATGGCTACCCAAATGTCGATGGAGCTTCTCAGTCATCCAGGTCACGGTTTTGCTTTTTTCAAGAGGCAACTGGACTTTCTCGTTTTTCTTTGAAGACGTCCAGTTGCCTCTTGAAAAAAGCACCTTTGGGACAGGGCTACCCAAATGGATGTTGTGAAGTGTGTGGATTTGCAGGCTTGCAAAGAAGAAGAAAAAATATGTTCACAGCATGGCAACATGACATTTGGACCCACTCACTTTCAGGAAGCTACCCACAATGGATCTGCAGTTTCAGCTTTTCCTCCTCCGCCTTTTGTTTTTAAATGCATGTCATAATTATCGAGGAACAAAAACCATTTGAATTGCAGCTGTGTTATGTATCTGTGTATGTGTGTATGCGTGTGTGTGTGTGTGCATGCATGTGTACATGTGTTGATTCATCCTTGGAGGGCATTAGACTGAATACAAGGCTTCCATTATTGCAAAAGGTGATACCCTTCTCAAAAATTAACAGGTGAAAAAAGTTAAACCCCTAGAAGGGGGAATGAAAGGGAAGGGAAAATGCATTCTTGGAATACAAACCGAGCAGTTATTGGGGTGAAATTATCAGCAATTTTTGGAGTTATCAGATCACTTCCAAGCAGCAAGAAGAGAGGTGAGAACAGAAGACTGGAAGGGACAAACCAGGTTTCCTAATTTGGACGTATCAATCGGAATCCTGTTACATTTTACGGCTGGAATTTTTCAATGCACTGTTGTCATTTGGTAACAAGCTTGTTTCCTGGTGTCAAATGGCCCATGGGGATAATACTGAAGGGTCAACCCTGGTCATTAGCCCTTGAGCCAGATGAAAAACTAAGAAGAACTAGTTTACATAGCTCACAGACAAGGGTAGACAATCTTAGATCAACTACCAACTGGAATTTTGAGAACATGTTAGAACAGGAGTGTCCAACCTTGAAACTTTAAGATTTGTGGACTTCAACTCCCAGAATTCCAGGAGTTGAAGTCCACAAATCTTAAAGTGGCCAAAGTTGGACATCCCTGACTTAGCCAAGAAGGGTGTGTGTGTTTTTGCCACTTCAAACAATCTCTAATTGGAGGAGAAAGAAATTTCTGGAGGGAGTTACTGGGCTTCTTCTTGTCCTAGAACCTATAAGCCACAGCATCCACGATATCCTTATTGGACATCCTTGTGTTAGAGGCACACTCTGAACATGGTGGCCATAGATCAACAGGTTTATTAGAGATCTTTGTCAGAAGGCCAACATGTCCTCTGCCACCACCTGCGGCCTTCCAGGAGACCTTCTACAATTCTAGGGAGTCCCAAGGGTGTTTTCAAAAAGGCAACTGAACATGTACATTGGGGAAAACTAAACAACTACTACACAAATGCACGGCGCAACGTAGGAGAACCAACGCAGGAGGACACAATTCAGCCATCCAACTTAACCCAGAGGAAAAGGGCTTTTCCACAAGAAAGTCCAGTCGCTTTGTTGAAAGCCTGAATCTACGAGATGGGTGACAAATACATTTGATAAAGATGAAAAAGCAACACTTCCTACCTTTTCAAGGAGAGCATTCTGCCAGAGGCGAAACATCATCATGTACGTCCTATCCCGGGCACCAAAGGAAGTGAAAAAGTGCTGGGAAAAGCAAAAAATAAAAATAAAAATTGAGAGGTGAGATAAATCAGGAATTATGTGTTAAATGATTGCATTGAAATACATTAGCCAGAGAGAAAGAAATTCAGTGCACATGCTACGGAGGTTGAAAACTCTACCGTAGCAAAGAAATCAGTGATTTATACCGGGAGTAGTACGGTGGCCTAGAGGTGGAGCTCTCGCCTCACAATCAGGAGGCTGTGAGTTCGATCCTAGGTAGAGGCAGATATTTCTCTCTCTGGGCATCGGCCGAACAAAACTCCGCATTGGTGACAGGAAGGGGATCCAGCCATTAAAACACTCCATTCAGGCTCCATTCAGTTGCCCAGACTCCACCCCGCAAAGGATTATAGGGTCGTTAAAAGAATATTCTATGACAATATTCTAAAAACAATGTTTGGAGGCATCTTGCAAATGGGTGAAGCCAACTGCATGGGGCAGAACCTATTTTTGGAAGACTTGGGAGGAAGGAATTTAAGATACAATGAGCACCATTCTGAAGGCTTTTTATTACATTATCTGCTTTAATTAATTTTCTAGCAGCTGGGTGGTCAGAAAAAAACAGAATTCTTATTCCAAAGTGGTTTAAAGTTCAACCACTTTTCCAGTACACAGCCAATGATAATACTATGCTTGCGCCCCAATACTTTTAACCTTCCCCTGGCCATTCTTATTCAGAGATTCAGGAAAGAGATTTCCAAACCAAAGTAACAAGCTCAACACTCTAAATTTCCAAAGCAATATAGGGCCAACTGGTGGAAGGTAGACAAATCTTCCCTCAATAGATGGGAGACCGATCGACGGGATGGACAACACCTTCCCACACCGTCTGCTCAGAAATAAAACAACACGGACTTGTAGCCTGCTTCTTTCACTCAAAGAGGGATTAGGATCTAGATCGAGGGTGTCAAACTCAAGGCCCACAGACCAGATCCAGCCTGTGGTGTGGTTAGATCTGGCCTGCGGAGTTGCCCTGGAAACAGCAGAGGATCGGCCCGCAGAGCCTCAGACCGGCCCAAGCTGACCGGACACTGATCTACAACCTAGTAGTGGCCAACCAGACCGGAACGTGATCAGCCTTAGATCCGCAAGGCCGGCCTGGAGCCAGCCTTGTCTGGCCCATCACAGGTGCCCCTCGACGTGAGCAACGTTGAGCAGGCCAGGTGGCGTTGTCCATTCCTGCCCAGTCATGTGACCACTCAGCCACGCCCACCTGGCCCTTTGAAGGTGACCATAATGTTGATCTGGCTATGTCAGAAGCAGAGATAGGGCCAAGGCAATCTGACACCGCCCAGCTGCCTTAAGAGCCAGAGTTAAGTGGGGAAGAAGAACAGCTGGGGCCTGTTTCAGATGCGCGTATGTGCAGAGCTGTCAGGAGAGGAGAACAATTAAGGAACAGGGGCCAATTCGGAAGGAAAGACACATGTGGACGCTGAATGGCCCCTCCTTGGGGAATACATAGAAGCAAAAAGGGTGTGGTGGTTGCAGGAGACAATTAGTTCATATTTCTTTTGGAAGATTTGCTTATCAGAGTTCGTGCTTCACCAGGGATTGAATTTACAGCTTTGCGACTGAAAGCTGCAACTATCCAAGGACTGATAAGGTGTGTTCCTGCAATTAACCCTTAGGAGGATTATTGCCATGACTTTTCTGTGAGTGAATGCCATGGATTCACCGTAACTAAATAAAGAGAGGTTTTTCGGGACAAGGAGTCTGTTTTTTAATTCTGCTAAGCCCTGGATCAGAACACCGGCCCTCAATGAAATTGAGTTTGACACTCCTGATCTAGATGATGTAAAGGCTTGGGGAATAAAAGACAAGCAGGAAGTCTTCAGGGTGGAGACACGTTTTGCTGGCCATGCCCAGAAGGTACCCTGATTTTGCAACCGGTAAACAAGTTTTACAAGGTTTTGCTTTATCCCTAACCTTTGGTGGGGAAAAAAAAACTTCTTTAACTGGCGGAAGCAATGAGACCAGAGAAGGTCAGAAGGTCCTACTACAGGAGCTCTAAACCATTTTCTGCTGTTGTTTTTTTTTTTTTTAAACATGCATGTTCCTAGACAAGCTGATCTTTGGGTCATGGTGGACCTACTTGACTGTGAGAATTTAACTGAGCTTCGGTCTTGTCCAAGATTCCCTGCTTCCCCTCAACCCCCAGATTTGTCCTTCAGAGAAGTCTTCTGCTCTTGCCGGTGTCCAATGGGCAAGATTGTAAGAAAGTACCTTTTCAGTGTCTGTGCAAACTTGAATAGCGTTAGGAATGAGCCGTGCAGTTTTCTCCTTGGTCATGGTGCAGATGTCCTTCAAACGGACAGTCAACTATACCAACAGATAAAAGATCAGAAGCATCATGGAAAGTGAAACAAGAAGAATAGAATAAGATAGAACAGAATAGAACAGAGTAGAGTAGACTAGAATAGACTGGGGTAGATTGGAGTGGGGTAGGGTAGGGTAGGGTAG